GCCAGAAGATCCAGCCGGCGTCCAGGAGGAGGAGGACGGCGGAGAAGCAGAGGAGCAGTGTGAGTTTCTTGTTACAATTCGCTGGAGGCTCGCCGTCACTGGCCGCAGCGGCATTGGCATCACCGAAACTGCCCGCTCCTTACCTCCCGCCCTCCTCTCCGCTGTTGTGGTAGCTCCACCCACCGCTCTCATAATCCATGTTAGGGTCCAAGATTTCTTCTTCCTCTTCCTTTCCCTGCCCGCCCTCCTTCCCCTCCTCCCCTTCCACATCTCCAACACTCCCCAAACTAGAAGAGCGACCACGACCACGACGCCGAGAAGGGTGACGACGGTGGTGTCGCCCTGCCCCGGGGCCCCAGCGCGCACAGTCTTGCTCCACCATCATACTATGGCCAACAGAAAAGGGCGCGTGCGGGAACGGGTGGGCGAGGTGCTGAACGACAGAAGCTTAGGCGCCGCTCGCATAGCAGCCAGGGCCAAGGATTCTTCTCCTTAATGCTGTAACTCCAGCGCGTGGTGCGAGATTTCGAGGTGGGTGGCGGCACGGGAGCAGAGAACGGCGCCCAGCACGTAGTTGAGGCCGCGAAGGAGGAACGTGGCGGCTCCGGAGGAGGAGGAGGAGGAGGAGGAGACGATCAGGAGCATGTCAGCACAGAGGAGGAGTGCGGCGAGACGCAGAACAAAACCCAAGGGCGCGGGTGGGCGGGGCAGGTCCTTCAAACGATTGAGGTAGTCGGTGGCCTTGGACGGGGCCGGGACAGGTCTGTCGGGCGGGTTTTTGTCTATCTTGGCGAGGCTGTGGTTAGTGTGGGAGGAAGAAGGGGCAAAGGAGGTGTAAGAGCTTGGTGGGGCCACAAGAGTGGTTCGATTTGCCGAAGCAACACTATGGCCTCGCGGCTGTTCTCGGAAATTACAAAGAAACAACACTTGACCAAAAAGCAAGCCGGCTTCAGGCTCCTCGCTCCTTTCGCGAGCCGAGGGGCCGACGGTGGGGCGGGGAGGTCGTGCTTCTGCTTCTGCTCCATCTCCTGTTGGTCGGGCACAGGCAAGTCAAAATATGCTCTTATTGACAACAAGGTGGTTGACAATAAGGCGGACGAGAGTTTGTGGTCTGTGTACTTGGAATATGTATGTGGTTCATTGATTGTTATTGAGGTTGAAAAACGAAAAGAGAGCCAAAAGAATGGCAAAGCACCGAATACACTTCATGGCCCTGGTCTGTGTCTGTGACTTGGTCGTATGAAGAGATGATGAGAAAACTGCAGAATATTTGGCAATGGAGGACTCATACAGACGCATTCTTCTTTTTGAAATGTGCTGAGGGTATGCGATGGCAATGTATATGTCGGAAGTCCACGAGGATCAAGCGACTCTGAGGCATTATTGAGGCGGCTTTTATGTGCGCTACTGAGGTGCCCTCAGTAACTGGACGTTGGAATTAAGCGCTATACAAGTCGAAGAGCCCCAATAAGCTCGCGACTCGACACATGCATGTAATTTTATTATTGAATGCTGAAGTGAACGATGCAGCCATTTTGAGTCATTACGAGCTTTATTTTACGAGGGCTGGTCGCGAGCAATGGATGCGAGGACGATATTGAGAAGGAAACGCAAAACCGCCCTTGTAACGGTCCAGGGCACACGGCAAGACGAGTAATCCACAAGCCGCCCACACAATCCACAGTATCTATCAGCTGGATGATTGATGTACAAACAAGTTCATCGGCGTATAAGGCTCCGTGGGTGAGAGAATGCTGTGTCTCTAGTGTTGGCCACTATGGTAACCGACTGGAGGGTCGTAACGTGGGAAGCGTTTCTTAACGTGAGGGGAAGACCTCGCTCACAGAGCTTTAGACGTGAATAGTGCTTTGGGAGAACAAAGCAGCCATCGACACTTCGAAGACGCAGAGAGGACGCAAATATCGTGCACATGGATGGCATGCACTTTGACGACGTTAATTTTGTAGCGCGTCGCTACATCGGAGCGCTAGCAGGCAGCAGGAGTCTGGTCCTTCCGCCTGAACTCTATTGGAGTCGCTGAATCATCTCGAGGTCGATAGCACTGGCCATGGAATGGGAGACCAGGTATGGGACAATGAATATAATACCACAAGTATTCATAGTTATAATGCACAGATTATAATTTGTTTGTTATTCCCTCGAATTACACAGCTGTGCATCCATGGGGCGGCTTAGTTGTTTTTCACTTGGAAATTCTTTGGTTCGGCATAATGCCCGTACGGCTATTGCTTGCGCGGAATGTGTGATGCGGTACATTCTCTGTTTCAAAGTATGATACAAGCCTGGAAGAAAAATGGCGACGAGGTGCAGAGTATATGGATACATCGCGGGTCTCAATTATTTGATTGGTGACGAAGTTTCCGCAGGAAATGTAATAGGGACAGGAAGCAGAAAAAACAGTACCAGAAACTGCGTGCCGGATAGATCATAACCCTCCCAATAAATTCAGCATTAGTATCTCCTACAGGAGCTTTATAAGTTTGTCGATGCTGCCATACAGCCGTCGGCTATTTTTGTTTGCGTCGCAAATTGTCCGATCCGGTACGGTGTCCGCTTGCAGAGCACGATGCAGGCTTGCGAGAAGAAGAAGCGACGAGTTGAAGGATACCACTTCTCATCTATATCTACATATACAATGTGTGTTTTTGTCATCCAATTGGTGTAGTTGAGTCGCTCGAGGAAAAGAAAAGGGACGGGGGGTTGGAAGAACAGCATCAGAAATTGCATTCCGGAATTAGTAAGCCATCCAAGGCAGCAATAAATCATCATACTTTCGAAATGAGATGATCACTGTTGACAAATACACACTTAGCAAAGAAGCGACAGAAGACAGCACAATTGTTCATCAATTCTGAGATAAAAAGGCCGTCCCACGTCGTGTGGAAAAGGTATATCCACACTACTTTTTCACCTTGTCCGCCTAGATTACAATTCCTGGACCCGGCTTTAACTTCCTATTATTTCCATAGTAGCCCCAATATACACACACGACTCCAATTCAAAAAGGAGCCAACGATGCTGGCGGGCGCTGACACCTCGTGTCTATTCCCACTGCCGGCGTTCCCGTGAGAAGAGTCAGCATCATACCATGACCACCTTTTCCGTCCTGAAAAACCTTCCAATGGCGGCTATTTCTTCCATCTCTCTCCCCTTCTCTCCTGCCGACTCGAGTTCCGACTGCCGCACACGGTCGCAGGCATTGTGAAAAGTCTTGCCCCTGGCTCCTGCTCACTCCCCCCCCTCTTTCCTCTTCTTGGTGCTCCTCTCCTCTTTCCTGTTCTGTCTTTACTCAAGCTCCGTTCTATTTTCTTTATTATCTTCCCTCGGCCTTGCCTCCCATTTGCCATCCACGCTGCCCTCCTCCCCCTCTTCCACTTCCTCGTCCTGCCCCTACCCTCTCCTCCGGGCGAGAAAATGCACGCTGTCTCGTCCCCACCACGCTCCCTGCCCCGCTCCCTCTTCTCGCCCCTCCTCCCGATCCGATCTTCAATCCTCACTGCCCACGACCACCACGGGCAACGACTGTGGCAACGGCCCCTTCCCCCGTCCCTCC